AGGTGCGTTTCTGGTATAGAGAAGGATGAATCCTGTTTTTGTATTCATTCTGTTAGTTTTTGGTTGTTTTTTTTAATAGGCGAATTGAGTTCATTAACATTAAGGGATATTAATGACCAGTGATTGTTAATTCCTTTTACTTTTTGGTGGCAGTGTGTTTGTGTTTCCCTCCTTTGGGATTTGCTGCTGTGGAATTATTTATTCCCTGTGATTTTGTAGGTACAACTAACTTTCTTGAATTGGAGTTTTCCTTCTAGTGCTTTCTGTAGGACTGGATTTGTGGATAGGTATTGTAAATCTGGTTTTGTCATGGATTTTTTTCTCCATCTATGGTGATTGAAAATTTTGTTGGGTATAGTAGTCTGAGTTGGCCTCTATGCTCTGTTAGTGTCTGCATAATATCTGTTCAGGGCCTTCTAAACTTTTAGAGTTTCCATTTAGAAGTTGGTTGTTATTCTGACGGGTCTGCCTTTATATGTTACTTGACCTTTTTCCTTTTCAGCTCTTAATATTCTTTCTATTCTGTAGATTTTGTATTTTAATTATTATGTGGCAAGGGACTTATAGTGCTGTATTATTTATGTTTGAATAAATAATGCTTGCCTGAAGATCAGAGGGCAAAGCAGTCATACTAGCCAACTACAGACTAGAGAGTAGTGACACACACCTTTAATCCTGGACTGGGGAGACAGAGGCAGAGGGACCTTTGAGCTCAATGCCACATAGGGCTACACAAGATTGTGTCTAAAGGAGAAACAAAGCTCACACAGAGGTAATCCCAGCGCTTTGGTTTCCACACCTTTAATCCCATCACTAGGGAGGTAGAGATAGGAGTGATGATATGGCTGTGCGGAAGAGGAATATAAAGGGGAAGAGACAGGAGCTCAGTGGAGTGTAAAGTCTGAGGTTGGTGGAGAGCATTGCAGGATCATCCTTTTGTTTGTTTGAATCTTGGTACAGGCAAGATGTCTATAGTGGCTTGGCTGCTTTGCTTTTCTGATCTTCAGGTTGAACTACAATATCTGTCTCTGGGTTTTTATTATTCACGCTACAGGGATTTGGTGGGGGGGACTTTCAGTTTGTTTGGTGTTCTGAAATCTAATTGTATTTTCATAGGTATTTGCTTTTTTAGATTGGGAAAGTTTTCTTCTATGATTTTGTTGGATATATTTTCTGTGCCTTTGAGCTGGTATTCTCCTTCTATCTCTATTACTCTTAAGTTTCGTATTTTCATGGTGTCCCAGATTTCCTGGATGTTTTATGGCATTAATGGTTGGTTTTTTTTTTTTGACTGATGTATCTGTTTCCTCTATCATATCTTCAACAGCTAAGATTCTCTCTTCCAACTCTCGTATTATTTTGGTTTTGTATCTGTAGTTCATGTTCATTTACCTAGGTTTTTCATTTCCAAGATTTCCTTGGCTTGTGTTTTCTTTATTGGCTCTATTTCAGTTTTTAAGTCTTCCTTTACTTGTTTGATTGCTTTTTTTTTTTTTTTGGCTTTCTTTCAGAGATTTATTGATTTCTTTCCATTTTTTTCTTTTTCTCCATTTCTTTAAAGGAATTTTTTATTTCCTCTTTAAGGGTCTCTGTCATCTTCATGAAGTTATTTTTAAGGTCATTTTCTTCTATTTCTGGGTTACGATGTTCAGGTCTTGTTGTAGGACTATGAGGTTTTGGTAGTGTCATATTGCCTTTTAGGTTGTTGAATGTATCCTTGCTTTGGCATCTACCCATCTCTTACTCCAGTTGGTGCAGGCAGTGTCTTTCCCTCTTCATCCCATCATTGCTGTTGGTGTCTGTGTCTCAGGGAACCTCTCGGACTGACTGGTGCAGTCACTGTATCTCTCAGGGAGCCACTGAAGTCTTGGGGAGATGGGAGGGTTTGGAAGTGGGACTTTTAGATCGCAGACTCCAGTATGGGGGTGTATGTGCTGGAGGCTTGCCCTTGCACTGAGGTGGCGGGGGCAAGGAGGGGGTTTTGCCTAGGGACCTAGTGCTTAGAGACTGGGCTGTCCATCTGATATGCTGGTCACTCATCTCTTGGTCCTCTCTATCCAGTTGCAGCCTGTATCTTCGGTAGCCACCGAGGTTGCTGGGGCTAGGGGCAATAGGTGCATTTGGGGGTGGAAGGGGCTTGTAGATTGCAGGTTCCATGGCTAAATGGAAGGGAAGGTGCTGGGGCAGCCTGCCTACAGGAGGCTTGTCTTAGTCCCTGAGGCTTGTGGGGAAGGGGTCCGGGGTTTTATAACAGAACCTAGGGCCTAGAGACTGGGCTGTCCAGCTGAGAGATTGGCATTCACATCTGGTCCACTCTGTGCAGTTGCAATCTGTCTCAAAAAGCTTTTTAAAAGGAAACCATTGGCCCTAGCTAACTCTTACATTTTAAATTAACCCATTTCTATTCATTTTCTTGCTGCCCTGTGGCTCATGGCCTGTTACCTCATTTTGTACATGTCCTGCTTCTGCTGTATCTGCCTGGTGACTCTGATTTCACCCTTCTTCTTCCCAGTGTCCTCAGTTTGGTTTTCCTGCCTAACCTTATCCTGTTCTTCTATTGGCTAGTTGACTTCCTTATTAAACCAATCACAGCCAAATTTACATAACGTACAGAAGATTAATTCCACAGTATAAATAAATAAAAGAAGATGTAGTGAAAAATATATTTCTCATGGTATGAGTAAAGAATGAATCTCAAAGTTAAATAACATTTGAGTCAAGCTTCAATTCTATTGCAGTATGTTCTAAGAAACTTTGGTATTTAGTAGATAAAAACTCCAATTTTCTTTCATTGGAATACATGGTAGAAAAAGTTTTGGTGTCCTAATCCCTATGTTAAAGGTAATAATATGCCAGAATATAAATCAGAATTTTAATAGTTTTTTAATAAAACTCAATCACTGGTAAACCCTTTTTACTCTCCTAAATTTAATAAGAGGCAAATGCCTTCCTGACACATCTAAATTTTTGATGTAATATCATAACTTCATATGTTTTAGCTGTTTTACTTGAGGCATATGTACATAACTTTTGGAGCATCATTTAGTTTATAATGTGCTCATTTTCTAATTGTCACAATTACCCCAGAGCATAACATTTCTTTATTCCACATCAAATATATGCCCAAAGGGAATTAAAATTTATGGGGTTTTGTGAACTTAGCACAATGTCCTTACACAGTAAGTGTCAAACATGTTTTTTAATTATTCATTTTATTTCTTTCTGCTTATAAAACAAACAGTAAACAAAATAATCCTTTATATTAAATTCCACAGGGAGTTTTGTCTGGGTTTAGATATTTCCAAAGAGATCTTGAAAATGTCTTTTTCGTAAGATATCAGGCAGTTTGAAAGTTGTGTTTACACTTACATATACTTTTCATATCTTGGCATGAGTGAACATTGTACATATAACATGCATTATGTGCACATCTGCCTATACATTTAAGGAAAGTTATAATTGGAGAGGCGTGAACAGAGGAGGAGATGCGCATGTATGAAGAGGACATTTTGAAAGGCAACAACATGGCTTAATGGTTATTGTATATAATGAATGTTGTTGCCATTATACAAGTGGTTTCTGGCTGGAGAGATGGCTCAGTTGCTAAGAGCACTCCAGTTTCAAGGAATCTAACAGCCTCTTCTGGCCTCTCAGCACCACACATGCACACAGTGTACAGACATTTATGCACGTATTTAAAATAAAAATAAATAATTTTTAAACCAGCAAAAAAATTAAAAGTAGTTGCTTAATTTAGCTGTTTTAGTCCAAGCTTCATTATGATTGTTGAGATGCCCCTTTGTTCACTTGTTTTCCCCATGTATATGTGTGTGTTGTGGTGTTCATGTGCATGTATGCAAAGTGCAGAAACATTGAGTTGTGCCTGGTCCTGCTTGGACTCTGAGTGGATCCTAGACACTCTTTTGTGGAGCTGCTTCTTCAGGGAGCTGAAATATGCTTTTCTTTTAGGTTCCCAGAGGATCATGGTACCAGCTCTAAACATTTACAATTTTTTTCTTTTAGAAAGGAAACTGCTCCTTTCCAAGAAATGTTCTATTAAAACTCACCAATCCTTAAATTAAGCTTCTTTGACTCTGTTTTTGCAGTAGCTACTACTGTAGAACTTCTATTCATTACTCTAATTAGTTCAAGTAGTTCAAGTTTATCTCATGTTAAAATCTTCACCTCCCTCCCTTTCCTTCCCTCACTTTTTCTCCCTCCCTCTTCCCTTTCTCCCTCGTGACTACCTTCCTCTCTTTGTTTTATGTGTATGAGTGTTTTGCCTGTGTGAATGTATGTGCGTCGTGTGTATCCAGTACCCACATCAGTCTGGAATCACAGACAGTTGTGGGTGCTGGGAACTGACCCTAGGTGAATCATCTCTTTAGCCCCAAAGTACACTGTTTCTTTAAAACTATGGAAAAGTAGTTTTTTAAAGCTCCTAAAAGTTCTGTGAGTATTAAAGAATGTAAGAAAGCTGCTGCTTTATCCTGTCCCTCACACTGCTGGTGTATGGACTTTCTCAAGCAAAGGTAGGGAGAGATTTAGGTTGCCCCTGGATGTCTACATTTCTCTCCAGCCACCCAGGCAAGTGGAGTGTCAAAAAGAAAATGAATGGTTGACAGCTGTGGATGCATTTATTAAATGGGAGGCTGAGACCACCCAGCAGGATGATTTGTAGTTACTCACTAGTGGGGTTGGGAGAGAATCCTAGGTGCAGAATCTACATTCCCATGATATAGAAATTGTCCAACTGAAAGACTGTTTCTTTTATTTTTGACTATTTTCTTTTGAGATTAATTACCCCATGTTTGTTTATATTCTATCGACTATCATTACTAAAATTACCAAACTGTTCATAGAGGTCATTTCATTCCCTCACTGGGTTGTCCTGTTACATAGCTACTTTGTAAGTTTTGTGCAAGGGTGTTTTATATTATTGAGACAAGCAAAGCAGTCAGTATTGTTTTCCTCATCTGTTGTTTTTCTTGGACTTGTAGGATGTGGAGAGCATCTTGTGCGCACCATACTGGCTAGAGAATGTTCACATGCTTTACAAGCTGAAGATGCTCACCAAGCTCTGTTGGAGACTATGCAAAACAAGTTCATCAGTAAGTGCAACTTTGGGAAAAGGACACCGTCTCCATATAGAGCATTTTCTTGAGCTGTATATATTAGGAATCGGTTTTCCCACATAAACCTCTATACTTTTCTTCACTGCCTAGCATGAAGTTAGACCTTCAGAAAATAGTATTTGTAAGTAGAAATTCTATTACAGTAGCTGCTACAGCAAGAGATCAGCTATTTAATTAATTTAATGTCTAGATTCGAGACATTATCTAGCATTAAAGTGACAAGTACTAAAATAGAAATCTGTAAAAGAAATTCAAGGGGCAATGTGCTAATAGCATGTTTGAAATGCAGTTATTCTTCTCATGTTATTGGCATGTGCACTGCACAGGGTCAAGATGGAATCCTACATTTGCCCAGTCCTCTTACTAGATGTGCATATATGTGTGTGTGTATTGATGTGTTGGGGAATAATCTGAGGATGGAGGACAGAAATTTCCTTGTTTGTTTTTTTGAGTTGAGGAAAGAATAAGTGGAAAAAGTGGTCTATTTAGGTTTTAAGACAAAGTAGATATGACACTCCTGTTCTAACCAGGATAGAAGCCATATGATAGATTAAATGGGTGAAGTCTACAAAGAAGACTTTAAACTAAGCTAAACAGTAGTTATAAGACAACTGGAGAGAGTGTTTGCTACTGTGCTGGGTAGTGTTTATGTGAACTTGACAGTATCTGAGGGTCATCTGAGTAAAGGAAACCTCAACTGAGAAAATACCTCCATTGGACTGGCTCTAGGCAATTCTGTGGTACATTTTCTTATTTGATAATTGATGTGGAAAGGGTAGCACTGTGGACAATGCTATCCTTGGGTAGGTGGTCCTGAGTTGTTTAAGAAAGCAAGCTTAGCAAGCCAGTAAGCAGTGCCGCTTCATTGCCTCTGCTTCAGCTCCTGCCTCCAGGTTCTTATTTGAATTTCTGTCCTGATGCCCCTCAGCAACGGAGAATGACTGGAGAGTTGTAAGCTGAGAAACTAACCAACCAAACCTTTTCTCCCCAAATTGGTTTTGGTCATGATGTTCATCATAGCAATAGAAACCCTGGGGACAATAGACAGGTGCCCTGGGGATGAAAGTTTCCCTAGAAGAACACACTTGGAGAGATTTTAAATCCCATCGCATCAGAGATCTAGATTGACTATCAGACAGCTGAGCTCTGCTGGTTGGTTTAAGATAAAGTGGGTCTGGAATTAAATGAAACAGGCCATGCTCCAGACTTCAGAAAGACCACAGATGCTGAGCTCTCAGTGACTGGTGTACAGTGGGTGCCCTGTGTCAGGGAGGGTGAGGTTTTCAGAACATGTAGGTGCAGAGAACATACAGAAGGAATGACTGCTTCACAGACGACCCTCTGGGATGCAGGAGCTTGTTGAGAGATTCATTGATGACGATTGTGTTCACTTTGTTGAGCTCTAGTTTCATGATGAGGGAAGAGTTATCACTGGGCTTGGCTGTATGGCTTTAGATGAACACTTTCTGGACCATTAGCCCAGGCAGACCCTGTTCAGTGGCCTCGTATTCAAACTCTCAAGCCCACCACTCTTCTCCAGTCAGTGCTGGAATTTATAAGAGGGTCCATATTGTAGCTGTGCTCATCTCTAACTTTGTTTACTTACCTTTTTGCTAGTTAAATAAACTCATTTTTATATTACATATATATATATATATATACATGCATGCATACACACTATTTTGTACTATTATATTTTATTGTTGTTGTTTTTGGTGGCACCTGGAATTCAGGGAACATCTGTGTTCTGGGGTCTTATGTAGAGGGACACTCTGGTTCTGCAATACGTTTCCTAAGCTCTTGGCTTCTGCCAATGTATGACTTGCCCTTCACCTGTTTGTAGGCAATAAGCCTTTGTCACCATTGAATTCATTGTGGTAGCTGTAGCTTTTGTCTTCTGTAACCCACACAGCAACCACAGACACTCAGGTGACAGACAGCTCACCTTCTCAGCTACATGTTCCCTCTGAGCCTTTTCAGTGAGCCCTGGTAGTTCAGACAGGGATCCCAGAGCCTCTGGGATTCTTTAAGGGGTGGTCAGGTCAGACTCTCCTCCTTTACCTGTAGAGTATCTTGCTCTTCTGCGTATGCCTGGAGTGAGGAGCCTCACCACCAGTTTCTTTCTTTTCACATCTGGCAGGGAAAGGGCATGGGTCTCTTCTCCTTCTTGATTTCTCCAAATCTTGCACGAACAGTTTTGTTGTCTCCTTTTCCTCCTTCCCTTTACTGTAGGCCCAGGAAGAGAAACAGAAACTCTTACTAGTGACTAGCCTTCTTTAGTTTTCCCATAAGTCACACATCAATTCCCAGCTCTATTGTAAAGATTCTTATGGGGACCAGGCTAAGGAAGTATTTCTCCAAACTACTGCGTTTTCAATAATCTAGGCTTTACCTACTCCCAAGTTCTTTGCCCTCTGAAGTTGTCAAAATGTAGAATTTAGAAAAGCCCACAAAGAAGCCCAAAGGGTGAAATCACTGATAAGAAAATGAATGGATCCTACTGAGGGACTAAACCCTGAATGACCTCTTCAAAATCCTAAATTGTCACCTTGATCTTTTGAAAGCAGCATGCTCTGTTAGAAAGGTGGTTTCAACCACACTCAGAGAAAATAACAGATTATCTTAGAAAATTATATTTATTCATGGGAAAATAGAATGACTGACCAAAGGATAATTTATTTCATAAGGAAAGGATTTTGAACAGGTGTATTCTTACGTTCTTATTGTGAGTGTGTTGCCTGTGTATATGGCTGTGTACCTCATGTGTGCCTAGTGCACATGAAAACCAGGAGAATGCCTTGGATCCTTCAGAACTGGAGTTGCAGATGGTAAGCTACTATGTGGGTTCTAGAAATTGAGCCCAGGTCTTTTGGAAGAACACCAAGTGTTCTTGGACACTGAGCCATCTTTTCAGCCTGCTTTCTTACATTCCCTCTACTAAGGTTATGAAGACTGTGAAGAGAGCCAAAGTTCTAAATCATCTGGATGGTTGTACTATTTCTCTCTCTCTCTCTCTCTCTCTCTCTCTCTCTCTCTCTCTCTCTCTCTCTCTGTAATAAGTGCTACTTGATGTTGACATACAAACTGAGGAATAAACTATGAACAGGGTTTGAAGTTTATCAATAATTTCAGAAAGATTGGTTGCATTCTTGTTGAGATCTATTTTGTTAGTAGTGTTGAATGCTGTTTCTAAAGAAAAGTGATTATTGGCACAATAGCATATGATTTATATGATTTGCTATCATTGTGTACGTATGGTAGATGTAGTCTCAGTCCAATGAGAGGAGATATTAAGAATTGAAAAATAGAGGTTCATGAAATCTAACTTCTTAGAAGTCCTGTGGCAAGCCAGGTGTTGTGGTTCACACCTTTAATCCCAGCACTCACGAGGCAGAGGCAGGTGGATCTCTGTGAGTCTGAGGCCAGCTGGTCTACAAAGCAAGTTCCAGGACAGGCAGAATTGTTGGATTTTTGCACAGAGTTACCCTATCTTGAGCCACCCCCATCTTGCACCAAAAAAAAAAAAAAAGGAAATCCTGTGGCAGGTGTATAGAGTGCATGTGTCTGTTGAGAATGACCTGAAGGACACTGCTGAATCCAAAACGACAGAGCCACTGTTAATTCAACTCAAATTTGGGTCTTGAGACTTCCTAAATGTTACTCCTTTTTGGTGCTTTGCTCTTCATTTGTGTAATGACGTGGAGCAGTTTTACCCCTGGGAACCCATTATTTAGTGCCTGTTGAGGCCCATCTTAAAAACACCTTGCTTTGGAAAGGAGCAGGGGACTTTATGGAGCTCAGCTCATTCGTCCTGCTTATTTAACAGTTAAGTTAGTTTAGAAGAATCCAGGGAGTTGCCCTCATAGCCATCTTGTTAACCAGTGAGTATTGATTTATTCTGTAAATTCATGTAAAATATAGAAGAATGTCCTAAGACTCAGGACAGCTGGTCCTCTGTAGTTTTGTGTCTCATCCCTTGGCTGTAGAAGTTACTTAAATGGCTTTCTCTCTTTTAAGATCAATAACATTAGATAAGAGGAAATTTAAAAATTCCTTGGCCATACTAACTTTTCTTGGCTCTATGTTGGAGTCAGTCCATAAATCTGAAATTCTTTTTAATCAGATGATTTGGACATGGGATTAGGAAATAAAAAAAATTCAAGAAGTACATGTGATCATTACAAAGTACTTGGAATGAGATAAATTGGATTTAGTGGAGGCCTGGACTAAAAGCAAGAAGGTTGAGTTCTTTTTTCTTTTAGTGCACTGATAGTTAGTGTCTATCTAAAAAAGACAGGTCTCTTTGTTCTACTTCTTCATTGTAGAATGAGGAGGCAGATCTCCATGGTTCCAAAGACTCATCAAGTTCCAACACCTTACTCTATCCTTGGATTAGTTCGTGGCTTCATCTAAACTACTTGTAGAGTTACGCACCAAATGACACATCAATTAAAATCCTGTATTTAGACTTGAATTAATGACGTCAGGTTCCTGTGTGGAGTAACACTGTTGAAATCTTCGCAGGAAGTGATTGAAATAAGTTAATGACTACTTTCGTCATCTTGTGGTAATACAAAATTCCTCCATTTTTGCTTTTTAGATTTTCTTTACAAAACTTGTAAAAACCAATTTAAAGACTATCATTGTAATACTGATAGAAATGTTTTATATAATAATGAAATCAAAGAACTCCATGTTGTTCATCTGAATCTTGGTTTTTTTGTCAGAAAGAATCATTGCTAAAAGTGTTATGTTTTCATAGTCTTCTCTCAGCTATCTATTTGATGAGCACTTTAAATAAGTATGTAGACAAGATAGCAGCATAATTTTCACTTTCATTTAATGGCTCTCCTTCCTTCCTCTCTCTTCTCTTGGTGTTTTTTTTTTAATACAGAGTCTCCTATAGCCAACCATGACCTTGAATTTCTTTTTTTAAAAATATTTATTTATTTATGTATACAATATTCTTTCTGTGT